CAGATCCTCGTGTAGATCATCAATATAAAATAACTGGTAATATTGGAGAGAGTGTAGAAATAACAGCTCAAGTTATATCTTATCCTAAACCAATATTTCAATGGTATTATAGAGAGAATAATGTTGATATACCTATTGTTAATAATGGTTCATTTCAACAAACTAATATATCTACCAACATCAATACCTTTATATCTAAATTAACTATAAATATCACAACTAATAAGTTCTATAGAAGATATTATCTTAATGTTTCTAATAAAGTGAATCCAGATGGATCTGATCTACAGTATGACATCATTTCAGAAAGTAAGTAGATATAACGTATGTATATCACAATATGTTACGATGTGTTCAACATTCTACTGATGATAAAACATGGGTCAATTCGTCCACAATACTAGATGATACTAATAATGGTCGAGTTGACTATTGTATAGAAGGATTAGAACCAGATACTAGTTATTATATCAGAGTGATAGCTAGTAATAAATATGGTGAAAGTTTAATTGGTATATTATCTCAGAGTGAACCTCCTAAAACAGCATCGAGACAAGGTAAAATGTATGAGACTATGAAGAATTCAATCCCTACACTATTTATTACTTTGTCTCAAAGTAAGTAAGATAGTAAGATATCAAGTAGACATGGTAAATACCTAAATTACAAGATGTCAATACATTATTATGAATTGTTTGCAACTTTATTTGTATTTTAGATATGTCAAGTAATGAGTTTGATGTAGTAGGTTTAGATATTGGTATTGTGTTGGCTATCCTTGCAGCTGTAGTTGTTGGTGTTATTCTTTACAAATGGCGACAAGGTATACATGTCATAATATTTTTGTTTAATTAAGTCTTGCTGAACCTGAATAACAGATAGATTTAATAGATTTCAATATATCTATACATTATTGCAAATTATATCTTGGTTATAGCAGACACCACACTTGGTTATATTCTTTTTCAGGTAAAGGGAAAGAAGAAGAAACGTAAGTACTTTAATATCGTCTTGATGACCTAACTATTTCCTGCTCTCTCTAGTCAAGCTAACTAACTAATATCAAATCATAGAAGAAATATTCACCTCCCTTTTTCCCACATCCTCACAATGGTCAGGCGAACTTCCGTGGTACATGAAAGGTGGCTACTGCAGTCAAGATAGAAGACGAAAGTCTTGAAAATGTCACTCACTATTCAGTGTAATCCTTAATGATGAACAGATCAGAGTTGGAATTGATGAGGAGAACACTTCAGAATGCCTTTATAAGCTTTTATTATTACATACCGACCAACCTGATAAGGGGTTGCTTACGAAAAGAAACATTCGATCCCACTTATGTCGTGAAATAGTGAATGTTCATTATTATATTTTTAAAGGTATGATAGCATTGATCCAAGGATAAGAGGTAAATATTTTTTTCTATCTGCAACCTGTGACATTTAGTCTATTTGAACTTTCTTTTAGTTTAGTTTAAACAGTATTTTATTTCTATTACACATATAATTTAGGGTTATAAATAGGGTTTCGGAAACAAGCCAATGTTAATCCGTCACCAAAAACAATGTACCAAAATACAGAAAATATAAATGAATAGATAAATAAATAAGTAAATTAGCGTACTAATATATATAATAATTTAACAATAAAGTAGTTTGATAGTTACCACAATTGATTGTGTATATTAACATATGAAGGAAAATGTGCAAAAGTGCATAAAGTGTCCACACCAGACAGGGGTCGTCATCACCAAGAATTCCGTCCGTCCACAAGCACAAACGAGGTTACAGACAAAGACAGCCGGGTTGGTCAATTGGAGGCTGTGTTGGCCTTCAATAAGTAATTTGATCAAATTCAGAATTTTGATACTTAGAGTAAGAAAACAGATGTTAATTTTACATGATGTTGAGTATACCCACAATTAGGGTGTGTAGGCACGATAAGCAAACTAGGCTAAATGTACCAGATCAACAATTAGGGTAAATATACAAGATTCACAAAAAGGGTGGGCAAACACGATCTGCAACAAGGGTCTGTATACACGATCAATAGACTTGGGTTGGTATTCAAGGTTCACAACTAGAGGAAGCCTTCATGCACAACTAGGGTAAGTAAGCAAGATTTCACAACTTGGTTAGAACTAAGTATACGATCCGCAACTAAGGTAATTATACAAGATCAACAAATAGGGTAAGTATACAATATGAAACAACTAGAGTAAGTAAGCACGATCCGCAACTAGGGTAAGTATACAAGATCCGCAAATAGGGTAAGTATACAAAATCAACAACTAGGGTAAGTATACAAGATAAAACAACTAGAGTAGGTAAACACGATCTGCAACTAGGGTAAGTAAGCAAGATTCACAACTAGGTTAGGTATATAAGATCCGTAACTAAGGTAATTTTACAAAATCAACAACTAGGGTAGGTAAACAAGATTCACATCTAGGGTGGGTAAACACGATCTGCAACCAGAGTCAGTATACACGATCAATAGACTTGGGTTGGTATACAAGGTTCACAACGAAGCAAGATTCACAACTAGGTTAAGTATATACGATCCGCAACGAGAATAATTATACAAGATCAACAACTAGGGTAAGTATACAAGATGAAACTAGAGTAGGTATACGAGGTTCACAACTAGGGTAACTAAACACGATCCGCAACTAGGGTAGGTATACAAGATAAACAACTAGGGTAAGTACACAGGATTCGTAGCAAGGGTAAGTATACAAGATTCACAACTAGGATAGGTAAATACGATTACTATAGGGTAATTGTGTCGGATCAAAAACAAGGATATATATAAAAGATTCACAACTAGGGTAAATAAACAAGATTTACAACTAGGGTAAGCACACAAGACCCTCAATTTGGTAAGTAAGCATGACCCGCAACTAGGGAAGTAAACTATTTTAACAACTACGGTAAGTAGACAAGATCAACAACTATGGGAAGTAAACACAGCTACAATAAATAAGAAAGATTACAAACTTCCTTTTAGACTACTATACAGCTATTTAAGCAGGTATATGTATATTGGCCAAACTCCCTCATTAATAACTAATAGTTATAATAGTTAATAAATTAATATTCAATAAAAAAAATACCAAGGTCCAATATTATATTTAAAGGAATAATCGGCGACATCGTAACTTCGAAACAAAGATTTCCAAACTCTTTAAATTTTGATTTGAATAGCTCACCAGGGCACCATAGCACACAGTAAGATATCGTTAATATCGAAACTCGTGTAGTAAATTACGTTATTTCAGTAAATTGTTTGTTCTTATTACTGATGATGTATTATCATCTTATCTGACGAATTGTATTGTGTTAAATGCTCACCGCTTTATTCTTAAAGAAATAAAGTAATCATAGTGTTATTGTGTTCTTTATTAAATCTTACTCCTTACTGCTGTTTATATGTTATACATTGAAATCTTTGATTTATTAGCTGATGGTCAAACCTACCAGGAGTTAAATACAGTACATAATACAGTAACACCACAAGCTAGTGATGCAGCACGCTATTACAACCTCAGAGCAGGCCAAACTACAACAGATCTTGACGATACAAGACCATATGCTAATCTGTAGTTGGAGGACGTTTCAACACTGTCTGCTGTGTGATACAGAAATTAATGATAAAAAAAACATGTTTTACACCAGTAGATCGATGGCTTTGTTGATGGGCGGGATTGTCTTCAACCTATGAACCCAAATTCTTTCAATTAAAGTTTAGCTCCGAACTACAGTTGCGATCTTTTATCTTTGAATAACAAATTTTTTCCAAATGATATTCCTTACTGACTGATCTTTGACCGAATCATGTTTATTGATTTCAATATGTCAATTTTCAGTTCTAAAGCAGTCACATAAAATATTCCTAACCTGGATTCTGAAACATAATATTACCATTTACCATCAAATATCAACTTGTAAAACCATTCCTTTGAATATAGTGATTAGTGTGATTGAAGAGTAACCAGTTACTATTCAATATAAGGCACTGGCACAGGGTTAAAGTTATGTATACAATATAGTGTTACTGTTGGAGTACTCGTAACCAGACGAACATTAGATGGTTGTGAACACGAATTTGAACTTGGTTGTGAATTAAAGTGGACGATTCGGTTGTGATATTTGTAGAACCATGACGATGTAATGAAATTAAAATGCTTTAAAATGTTTTGATCTATATTGATTATAATTGGATAATATGCGATTGTAAAACTATGTGCTCTCTTGTTATCTCCATTTTATTCATTTTATAAAATACTAACTTAACAAGATGTAATCTTTTGAACATAATCGAAAGTAATTTGTGTATGCTTCTAACAATTACTAAGTACCACTAACAACCTGCAAATTCTAATACATATCAAAAGATGACCCAATGGCTGAACAGGGCGGTTTGAGTGCTTTTTTGTAATTAATGGAATTGAACATGTACTTTGTCTAGACAAAGTAAGACGTAAAATCATTGTGTATTATCATGTAAAAAAACCTACAATTATTTCGCTGTGTTTGTTCTATAATTGTTTTATTGAAATATAATTTCATAATTTCTAGTGGGAAATTAGACGATGTTACACAATTTCTAGAGGTGATAGGTGGGGCTATGGTGTAACCAGAGATTATGATACTGTACAGGTACCAGTTATGTGTATTGACGGTGGTTAGGTCTGTATCTCAAATTTAGAAGATCAACCACCTTTCTTCAGATGAAAAAAAATTCTTAAATTCAAAATTTATATAAAACTTTACAAAAATATATTTTAACGATAACATTTCATAACTTTTCGGAACAAGTCCTGGTTTACATTTAC